ATCACTGGTCACTGTGACACACACTGATCACCAGGGGGCAGACACTTAATGCAGGAGCTGCCCCTTGGTGGTCAGTGCGCTCCCACAGGTGGAGCACTGCTCAGCCACAAGCCAAGCTGATGGCTGCCAGCACAGTGGTGATGGTGGGAGCCTCTTCCACCTCCTCAGCAGCACTATGTCTGACTGAAGCTTAGGCCTGCTTCCCGCTGGCAAGTGGACACCCCCGGAGGGCTCCCAGGCTGCCAGAGGGATGTCTGACTGCCAGCTTAGGCCCACTCCCCGGGCCTAAGCCAGCAGGTGGGCATCCCCCAAGGGTTCCCAGACAGTGAAAGGGCACAGGCCAGGGTGAGGGCCCCCCCGAGTGCACAAATTTTTGTGCATTGAGCCTCTAGTTATGTAATATGTTTTAATAGGATAAGTACTTTGGAAAAAAAATTTTTTTTTCTATTAAGCCGCTGATGGGGATCGGAGGTACTGACTCTATTTATTCTCCTGACTTGGACTTTGCTCTATTTGGAGAGTGGGGTGAGCCAGGAGATTGTGTGGGTGGGAGTACTTTGGAGTGTGGACCTGGCAAGTTCTCAGTTCCCAGGTGTGTCTAGTTACCTGTTCACAAGGAGTAATGGATGCCCGACTCACTGGGAGGACTCGCCAATTGTCACCTGTGCCGGCTGCTCACAGTCTGTTATTAGGGCAAACAACAGTGCTTGCCTGGGACGGATGGGTTGGTGATAGACTCTTAGCATGTCAGGGCTGCAAGATTCTTCTAGAAACCACTCCACTCACTCAGACCTGGCAGCTGGGGGCCCAGAGCAGGGAAACCAGGGCCTGCGGCAGTTCTCCTGATGTTGCCCTGCAAATATTTCACCCCTGACCTGTCATGGACTCCACACATGTGCTGCCATTTGGGTGAATGGCAGTCTCCTGTGGACTCGACCACCTGGGTTACCTGGTGGAGCTGCAACGGCCCCACTGCACCCTCCATGGGAGTCCAGCCCAGAGCCGGGCTGCGTCCACGGTGTGCAGGATGACCATCGCCCAGGTGGGCAGTAGCTAGGCAGCCTCCTGTCCTTGACCTGGTGCATCCGGAATTGCCAGTGTGAGGAGAGGAGCCAGGCCTTCTCACTATACATGATGCTGGGAGGCTTTAGTGAGCCCCAGGGCCCCCGCTCATGGCTTCCTACCCACTCAACGTCTTCTCTCTGGTACGAGCAGCTTTGCACAGGAACAGAGCTCCCAGGCCACGGCTCTGTGCGCAGCATCTGGCTGAACCTGAGTATATCTCTCTCCCCACCTCCCCAAGGTGCTCCCAAGATGCCGTGTCAGCCCAGGTGCTCTCAGAGCTCTTTACCAACAGTAAGGAGAACATTCCTCTCAAGATCTCCGAAGACTGCCTTTACCTAAACATCTACACTCCCGCAGACTTGAAGAGGAAGAGCAGGCTGCCGGTAAGGTGTGCGTTCCATGTAGGAGCGATCTCCTGGTGTGGACTGGGGAGGAGGAAGGCAGCTTGGTGGGGAGTATCCCAGCCACGGCTCTTTCAGCGGCCCTGGCCTTCCTTTGCTCTTCCTGACCAGGCCACGTGACCCCTGGTAACACGTTTTCCATCCCTCAGTTTCCTCTGGCGATAGTCATGGTGCCTCCCGGGGACTTCTCTGTACATCTGTAACCTATTATCAGTTCTTTCCACGTTTGCTCATGCGAACAGAGGGACAAGCGTGACTACTGATAGTTGCAAGGTTAGGCATCTTGATTGCCAGAGAAGCTAAGGCATGCTTTCCAATCAAGTTAGAGCTTGAAGGAACCTCACCAAGAAGGCAACATCCCAACCCTCCCTTTACAGACAGAGAAACCAATAAGGCGAGGCCACCCAGTTGGGTTGGCAGGATCAGGGCAAGGGTTCTCTGAAAAATTGAGCCAATGGGTGGTATTTGTCAGCTGCAAAGATCCGGCTCTGACCAGTGTCCCAGGGTAGCACAGAGGTGTGGCGGCAGAGCCAGGGGCAGTCCAAGAAGCAATGTCCTTTGTCTTAGTGTTTGCCTCAATATCTGAGGTGTTCTTGAGCTAATTTCTCTTCCTAATTATCTTTGGCTGGGGCGATGTCCCAGGGAGTCAACATTTCCTCAATATGCAGAGGCCCAGAGATGGGCAGCCAGAAGATGGGGGTAGGTCTACTGGGGGCAGTCCCTGGGGTACAGAGGGAGGACTGTAAGGAAGAGATACCACTGGGGGCATGGATGCTTCTTGAGATAGTCATTCACACATGAGAGGACTTTAATTTGCCGCACAGAGGTGACTAATGACTCTGAAATCCAAGGGCTGCCCAGGCAGAGTGTGCTGGGGGCTGTTAGCTTCAGAGAACAGCCTCCTTCAATCATGATCAACCAGACAACACTTGGAGTTCCTTCCCAGCTCTGCTCCTATCTGTGACCTGTGTGGTTGCTTCCTCCCTGTCCAGGTGATGGTGTGGATCCACGGAGGAGGTCTGGTGGTGGGCGGGGCATCAACCTATAACGGGCTGGCCCTCTCTGCCCATGAAAACGTGGTGGTGGTGATCATTCAGTACCGCCTGGGCATCTGGGGATTCTTCAGGTAAGATATTGGACTCCGCACTGCACATGGGCCCTTGAAGTGAGGGTGGCAGGACCCAGCTCTGGTCATCTCATGTCAGTTCCGCAGGAAGGCATCCAAATCCCTTCATAATTGGGCTCCACACACAGTCTCATTTCCCAACCACACTGGTCCACCTGCTTCTGAGCTTTTGCATGCGCTGTTCCCTCTGACTGGAATGCCTGTTCTACTTGACCCACTCCTATGCATCCCATAAGGCCCAACTCAAACGTTCCTGCCTCTGAAATGCTCACCTCCTTTTTACCTGTGCTGCCACAGCACACGGGACACCTCTGGAATGACAGCAGCACAGCAGTTAGAGCAGCAGGTTCAACACCTCACCTCTCATGGGAAAGGAGGGAAGGGCAGACTTTGGCATGAGCTCTTCAATGCTTCTGGGTGATGGAACGTGTGGCTGGAGCTGGGAGGTGTCAGAGCATCTGACTCCAGAGGCCAATGCTCCCAGGAGGAATGTTGGGTTCACTTGCCCCGTTTGCTTCTGCATTTGGCACGTGCATGAGCCCAGGCTAGAGTCTTCTGATGGAATCTCCGTGCAGACAGGAGCCAGGGTTCCTTAGGGCAGAGTTACTGGTAGGTTTTCTCAATGCACTGGCCCCAGGACCTTGGACCCTGCGATGGCTGATTGACAGGAGGTGGGATGGACACTCACTGGAAAGACCTGTAGGGCTGGAGGAGGGTATTAGGGGAGTCATATCCCAGGATGCAATGCCTTCATTGAGACTCTTCATCTCTCACCTCCTCTTCCCCCCAGCCCATTTCTCTGCTCCCCGTTACATTAAAACTGCTCCATCAGGTTTCCATGCCTTCTTTCATTTCAGTCTTTCCTGTCCCCACACCAGTCAGGTTTCTACTCAGACCACACCACCAGATTGTTCTGGTGGAGGAGGAGGTCTCCAGTGACCCACCAGCTCTGGGCCCAACATTGGCAGCATCCACACATCACCCCTCATACCTCTTTGAAATACTTCCTTCTCTTTGCTGAGTGTTCTGCATTCACACTTTTGTTCACTGGACCCTGGGGCCTTTGCATGTGCTACCTCTGTCACCTGGAATTCCTTTCTTTGGATATTTGCAAGGTTCTTGTGCTCATTCATTCAGATCTCTACTCAGATGGGGCTGCCTCCGAGATGCCTTCCCTAGACATCTGATCTGAAATAAGACCCCGCTGTCCCACCCTGCCTTTTTTCTGACCCTGTTTTATTTCCCCTGAGAGCATTTTTGCTAATTGGTGTTATATTTTTACTAGTAGCCCTGTGCACGAAATTCATGCACATTAAAAGGGAATTAATTGCCCTAAACTAATTGCCTTCACTGGATAGAGCATCAGCCTGGGGCCTCAAAGGTCCCAGTTTTGATTCTGGTGAAGGGCTTTACCTTGGTTGCAGGCACATCTCCAGTGGGGAGTGAAGGGCATGCACCTTGGTTGCGGGTACATCTCCAGTGGGGAGTTTGCAGGAGGCAGGTGATAGGTGTTTCTCTCTCATCAATGTTTCTAACTATTTTGTTGCCAACATTGGCTTCTTTCGGCTTCAGAGGTACTTTGTTCCACTACTTGGTCTATAAACATATTCTCTCCTCCCTGCTGTCAGGGACCAGGGTGAAGGTGAATAGGATTGCTAGCTGGCAGGCCCCTGACAGCAAACTTGCCACCTGTTGATTCTGTGAGAAAAGGGGCTCCCTCCTCCCTCCTGTCAGGGTCTGGGGTGCAGGAGAATGGGGTTCCTGGCTGGCAGGCCACTGACAGCAAGCTATCCAACAGCAGATTCTGTGAGGAATGGGGCTCCCTCCTTTCTACTGTCAGGGTCTGGATTGAAGGTCGGCCATGCCCTCTCATGGGCCAGAACCAGAGTTCTACCACACTGTGGCCTCCACCTCAGCAATCCAGGACTGACTGTTGCTGGGCGCTCTTGGTGGTCTGAGGGTGGGTTCTTCCCTCAGGCCACACAGTAAAGAGCTGGGGAGGGCGCAGCCCTTGACAAAAGGACCCAGGTTTCAGTGGGTCCACGCTTCGAGGGTGAGTTTCTGCCTCAAACCGTGCCCTCCCCCGAAACAGCTCCAGGAAACAGCTCGGGGGAGGGCGCAGCCGTTGCTAAGACACCCCTGTAGGACTGACTTCCTTCCACTTGGACGTGCTTCTGGCTTGATGTTACACCCAAACAGCTCCAGGAAACAGCTCCGGGAGGGCGCAGTCCTTGGCAAAGCGACCCAGGATTCAGTGGGTCCAGGCTCCCAGGGCAGGTTCCTGACTCAAACCCCATCCTCACTGGAAACAGCTCCAGGAAACAGGTTGGGAGAGGGCGCAGCCATTGCCAAGACAACCCCTGCAGGACTGACTGACTTCCGCTTGGTCGCCAGACCCGGTCGTGATGAACTTAACCCAGGGTTTTATATAAGTAGATATATACCTGTTTATTTGTTGATGATCTATAGTGTGAGCTCCTTGTAGTTAGAGATTTTGCCTATTTTGCTTCGGGGTCTTAGAACAGTGTTTGGCACATTGCAGATACTCAGTAAGTACATGCCAGGTGAATGAATGGAGAGCTAAACAAACAATGCTACACCTGTGAGTCTGAGCTGTGGAGGGCTCACCTAGAGCCCCCAGCCCAAGCTATGGTCCTGGGAATCCTGCCATGATAACTCTAACCCAGGGGTGGGCAAACTTTTTGACTCGAGGGCCACACTGGCTTCTTAAACTGGACCAGGGGGCCGGAACAAAACCATGGATGGAGTGTTTGTGTGAACTAATATAAATTCAAAATAAACATCATTACATAAAAGGGTACGGTTCTTTTTTTTTTTTTAGTTTTATTCATTTCAAACGGACCGGATCCAGCCTGCGGGCCCTCATTTGGCCACGGCTGCTCTAACCCGCCCCTGTCCCACGCTGTTCTCTTACCCACAGCACAGGGGATGAACACAGCCGGGGCAACTGGGGTCACTTAGACCAGCTGGCCGCGCTGCGCTGGGTCCAGGAGAACATTGCCAACTTTGGAGGGGACCCAGGCTCTGTGACCATCTTCGGAGAGTCTGCGGGAGCTGAAAGTGTCTCTGTTCTTGTAAGTGTTCCTGGCCCCGATGTGTGTACAGATGGGCTCCCTGGGACACCCGCTGACCTTTATTAGCAAGACCTGGGTTCAAGGCTGGCCCTTCTCTGCACAGAGCAGATAGTGGAAAGCTAATGGCCCAATTCTCCCCTGGGAGCTCAGGGCTCCGCTAGCATCCTGGGGCCATAATCATCTCCAGCCCCGGCCGGCAACATCCCTCCTGACTTGGCTGAGTTCCTAATCCCTTCTCCATGAGGACTCTCCTCACTTCTCCTGGGACCCCTCCAGCTGCCTCACAGCTGAGCGGAGTGTCTGTGCTGCTACCGTATTTTAAAACACGTTTGCTTTCATAGTTAAATACTCAGAGGAAGCTTTTATGTTTTGTGAAGTGGAGAAAGAGGAGAAGTATAGATACGCCCAAAGAAGAAAAGAAGTTAACCTACAATGTTATTACCCATGGATTGTCACCATGGACATGTTGACACTTACTTTTCTAGTCTTTTTTTGATGACTCACGCTATCATCTATCTATCTATCTATCTATCTATCTATCAATCTGTCATTTATCTATGGTTTTTTTAATTAAAAAAAACTTCCTTGACATTGCAATCTAACATAAATACTTTCCTAACCATGAAGTGCTCTCACATAATTTTATTTTTATAGTATTCCATGGTAAGAATTAAAAAGTAGCTTATTAACTCAATGCCATCATGTTGGAACCTGGGGTCCCTGCCCGCGTTCCCCATCATGAGCAGCACAGGCCCCCCAGGCACCCTCGTGTGCCTCCTGGATCACCTTGCTTAGGGTGAGTGTTTAGGAATGGAAATGTAGACTCAGAACTCTGTCTTGAAAGTGTTACCAGGAATTGCCAAAGTGTCTTTCAGATCTTTTGATGGTTACAAAAGTGTGTGGCACTTCCCACACTCTTCCTGTGTGTTCCTCGCTCTGTGCCCTGGGGTCTTACCAGCTGAGGTTTTCTTACAGAAACAGGGCCTCGGGGTCAGTCTGGGGAACAGGCCAGGCGGGGCCCTGTTATGTCCACTGAGCCCAGGGGAATGGGCCAGGATGGAGCTAGGGAAGCTCTTGAAGTCCCCTCCCTGTGAGCCTCAACCTCAGGTAGGGCTCCTGCTGGGCAGCCCTTACCCCCTTTGCTCTGCTCCCCTGGAGTCCTCGGGGGCCTGCATTGCCATGGGATTCAGCTGGCGCGCCCAGATCATCCCAGAAGAATGGCTGAGTGGAGGAGCAAGGAGACACCTCACCCTCCCTTCCAGTTTTACTTCTGAGCAAACTGGGCCAGAGAGCAGACACCCCTCAGCGAGGTCAGCGAGGCATCAGGGCAGAGCGGAGACTCAGGCTCCTGACTGGCCTGCCAGCACAGTTACTGTCCACGGACCACACTCCCCAGAGTGTGCACGGTGGGCTGCCAGGCTGAGCATGGGGAGTGGACTGTCAGCACGTGTTATCTCTCAGACGGCCTGAGTTCTCAGACCCCGCCCCTGGCCACATATCGGCCTGGAGTGGTTTCTCCCCGAGGGGCCTTGTGACTAGGCTGAGTTCCTGGAGAATTTGTTTGTAATTAATTTGTTGCCTCAACAAGAAATTTTTTTAAATATACATATTTTTTATTGATGTCAGAGATGAAGAGAGAGATGGAAACATCAATGATGAGAGAGAATCATTGATTGGCTACCTTCTGCATGCCCGGGGCATGCATGCCTGGGAATCAAATGGTGACCTCTGGTTCATAAATCGATGCTCAACCACTGAGCCATGCTGGCCGGGCAACAAATAATTTTGATACAGCCAGACACCTAGCAGTCTTGTGTAGCTTCCATTTAATGGAGGGGACTGCTGGGGTCCAACCCCAGCCGGTCCAGGGGTCCCCAAAGGTGTGGACGGAGTTGGCGAAGAAGGAATGACACGGAGGCAGCGTTCAGTTGATCAGCAGCCTTGCCAGGATCTCTAGCCACAATCTCCAGCCAAGTTCTGTGTCCATGTTCTCTTGCTAGGTTCTCCAGCCACGTTCTCCAGGTTCTCCAGCCAGGTTCGGTTTAGGTTCTCCAGCCAGGTTTGGTCGCCAGGTTCTATAGCCGGGTTCTTCAGCCAGGTTCTGTCTAGGTTCTCCAACCAAGTTCTGTAGCCAGGTTCTGTCCAGGATCTTTTGCCATGTTCTCTCCAGCGAAGTTCTTCTGTCTCTAGGTTCTGTGTAGGTTCTGTCTTCTAAGTTCTGTCTCTAGGATCTTCATCTAAGTTCTGTGTGTCCTGTTGTCTTGTTACATCTGTATTTATACCAGTTGATTCCAATCCTATCAATCTCTATTCCAAAGGTTAGGGCGTTTCTTATCTCCATTCCAGGGAGTAAAGATTATGTAGCTTAAGCGTGATTGTTTGTAGCTAAAATGATTAATTACCCGCCTGGCACTTACTTAGGGGGTTTTATTCCCTCCCTAACTTCAGGGGAAAATCCCTACCTGGGGAAACAACCTTTCTCGGAGAGGTGACCTTGGTTAAAACACAGCACCAAGAAGGTGAGCAAACATATTAAGAACAGTATGCAGGAGCTCCAGTGGCGCAATCGGTTAGCGCGCGGTACTTATAAGAACAGTATGCCATATACGCCAGGTCCCTTGAAACAGCAAGGATGGACCGGCTCCCAGCAGGGGACGGATTAATGACTACATAATCACACAGTCATACAATGTCAGTCATGGCAGGAGCAGGAAGGAGAGGTACTTAACATCATGACAGAGTTCAGTTGGAGCCCTTAGTCCAGGGTGTAGGGGGAAAGGCTCTCTGAAGAAAGTGATCACTAACGTGAGATCCCCAGGATGAGCATAACCTGCTTGGTGAGAAATGAATTTCTGAGGAAGGGGAGTGACGTTTGCAAGTGTCCTGTGGCAGGAGAAAGTGTGTGTGTGTGTGTGAGAGAGAGAGAGAGGCAGAGAGAGGCTGATGAGGCCAGAGCAGAAAGAGCAGAGGGAACCTGGAGTGAGCTGAGGTTGGGGACATTGGCAGGGGCCCTGCTGCCTGGGACCCTGGAGAAGAATTTGTCTTTATCTAGAGACTGTTAGGGATCCAAGGAAGGGAGCGCAACGGGGTGGGGTAGGCCACTGCTGACCAGCGCTCATGGGGTCTGTGGTGGGAGCGTTTTAGTTGGGCTGTGAGAGTGGTTTCCTGACTCGTAGGTCAGTGGAGGTAGCCACCAGCCTGAAAGGGGCTGGCTGGTAGAGAGGAGGGGAGGAAACGAAGATGGCGAGAATTTTGAGGTTTTCCAGAACTCTTTGGTTGTAAACATCAGAAGTCCACTTGGGCATGCTTAAGTTAGGAAAGGGGGGATTTATTGAAAGGAAACAGGTGGCAGAGATGGGGCAGATTCTGCTGTCACACAGGAACTAGAAATTGGCCAATGAGGGGAATTTAAGACATTTATTCTTCATAACACTTTCCACCGAGCTCCCCTTAATGTACGCTATACACGGCCACCATGGAAGAGCCTGCTTTCTTCTCTCTGTGTCAACCTCTCCTCTGGCTGCACTGTGCGGGGTTCGCTAGATGGAGTCCAAAGGCTAGTAAGAGGATGAGCCGAGATTTGAAACCAGACAGTGGGATTCTGGACGCCCTGACCTAAAGCCCACTCCAAGCTGCCCCTCTGCAGACATCCGGCTGTGAGAGCCTTTGGCCCATTTTAAGAGAAAGAAGGAAACTGGCACAGAGGTGGCAGAATTGGCATGACTGAGGCCCAGGGCCCACGCCTGCTGGTCCAGAGAAATGCCTGCAACCCCCCCTCTCGCCCCCGCCCCCCGGTGCCTTTAGAAGTTGAGGTTGGGATGGAACATCAACTGGTTGACAGGAGGGACATGGCTCTTGAATGCTGCTGTCCCTGTGATTTCTGCAGCAAATCGCTACCTTTGCCGGCTGTCAAACCACCACCTCGGCGGTCATGGTGCACTGCCTGCGCCAGAAGTCGGAGGATGAGCTCCTGGAGACGTCGCTGAAGATGGTAGGTTCCACCCTTCACGTTCCAAACAGGCCCCCCCAACCTCCCACCACCACCACTGCCCTGGGAACTTGGCCCCAGGCTTTATCATCTCAGCTGCTCCCTTGTCCCAGAAACACTGCCAGGGACAGGGTCTCTCCTCTCTGGAGTAATGGCACCCCTCAACCTAAATAGGGACTTTTCTTCTCTTTTATTACGAAATACCTGAAATGTTAGCAAAGTAAAAAACTAACATAGTGATCAATCGTGTAATAATCCTCCAGCTTGGTCAAAATGTACTATGGCGCCATTCTTGTTTTCAGAGATACTTTTTTAAAGAAATTAGACACTATTTACTCCTAGAGGTAACTACCATCCTGAATTTGGGGAAGGGGGATATCAAGAACAAAGATTTCAGAAAGGTTGTCAAAATGATTATTGGTTAATTTAGAAATGATCAGCCATGACCCAGTGGTGGCCCAAGGTTCTAGATTTTCTGAGACCCTGCCTCAGTTGTGATCCTAGGCTGACCATCCATCCATTCATCATCATATTATGTCTATCCCTCCACAAATATATCCATTTCATCAATATCCTTTCCTCATCCAAATATCAATCTATCCATAACTTTCATTTATCTATTACCAATCACTCATGCATCATCCAGCCGCCATATATCTTTACCATTCATTCCTCTAAAATCAGTGATCCATTTATCATGTATATACTAGTTACCACTCATTTATCCACTCAATCATCCAATGCACTCATATTCCATGTATTGACCAAATCCATCCATTTACCCATTCATCAGTCCATCCATCCATCAATCCCAACAAGAAGAGGAAATGGATGGAGGACATTGCAGGCACACGCAACAGAAATCCTTGCCAGAGCTCTCCTCCCCCACTCACAGCTAGACCCTGAGCTCATGCCCAGGGGAACCAGTGCCCTGCCCACTTCCTCTTGTCCAGTCAGGGTGGCACTGGGAGGGAGAACCTGATGCCTTGGCGGCAGCTGACCAAGACCTGCCTTCCTCCCAGGAGGCCTCTCACCCACATCCCCTGCCTTTGTTTTCACAGAATTTTTTCCGTCTTGATTTACATGGAGACCCCCGAGAGGTAAGGACCCTTGGTTTCTGGGTCACACGTTTCAAATCTTGACACCTTTAAGCTCCAGTTGAAGATGAATGAAAGACTTCTCCCTGTGGACGCATAGTAACTCCTTGTGTTTATATTGCTGAGGCCCAGAAAGGGGCAGTGACTTGCCTGGGTAACACAGCCAGGAGGACCAGATGTCGGACCACAAACTGTTCCTGTCACTCCTCCTCCAGTGCTGTTCGTCACTAACTCTGTGTCTCCTGACCCAGTCTACACCCTTTCTTTTTTTCTTTTTTTTTTAGTAGTTTTTTAAAAAAGATATATACTTATACTGATTTCAGAGAGGAAGGGAGAGAGAGATAGAAGCATCAGTGATGAGAGAGAATCATTGATTGGCTGCCTCCAGCACGCCCCACACTGGGGACTGAGCCTGCAACTCAGGCTTGTGCCCTGATTGGGAATCGAACCATGACCTCCTGGTTCATAGGTCGACACTCAACCATTGAGCCAGGCTGGCTGGGCTCTACATTTTTTCTTGTTTTTATTTCCTGCTCCCTGGGGGAGAAGGCTGTACTAGAAACTCCCACCTCAGGGAGAGGGAGGTAACTGCTTCAGGGGTCTCAGGAGCCTTCACGGAGGAGCCCAGATCTCCTGCGAGGCTTCAGGGCTATTTAGCCACTATGGCTGGGTCACCAGGAAGGGAGCCAGGAACCTCAGTCCTGAGGACACTCCTCGCAGCCATGCAGGAAACTCCAACAGGGTCCTCCCCTCTCCACCCGAGTTTTGAGCAGGGAGTGGGAGTGGGTGGAGGTGGGGGGAGGGAAAGATAGACCAGTGACACAGGCAAACAAAGCAGACACAACCCCCAGCCCTCTAGGAGTGAGGAGAGAGTTCAGTAAACACATAAAATATGGTGTGTGTTTGATGATGGGTAGCGTTACGGAGAAAAAGAAACTGGGAGCTGGGGATGGAGTTTGCTGGTGGTTTGAGTGTACACAGTGGGATTTGTGAGCCGTTACCTAGGGATCACTAACTCGGAGTCCACAGTGACTTTACGGAGCGTAACCATCGTGAATAATGAGAATTGACTGTCACGAGAGAGATACATATAGATAGACATAAACTTCAAGCTGAAAGTTTTATATAAAATACAAATATTAACATAATATTTTTATATATTTTAATTTGATGGAGATACCCCCCCTCTATCACCTGCCCACTGCTAATCCCTTGGGGACCAGTTCTACCCGCTGGGGTCACACACTTAGCTGCTTTGTTAGGACCTTGAGCTCTGTGCCACTGCCCACAGGCACACAGGTGTGTGGTGCTGGCTTTGCTCAGACGAGCTGAGAGAAGGACGTGGGTGTGAGCGGGGAGGGCAGCATGGACACTGTTATGTCCTCTTCCCAGAGCCAGCCCTTCCTGTCCTCTGTGGTTGATGGAGTGCTGCTGCCAAAGATGCCGGAGGAGCTTCTAGCTGAAAAACAGCTCAACACCGTTCCGTACATCGTCGGAATCAACCACCAAGAATTCGGATGGATTCTTCCAGTGGTGAGCCTGCGTGGGTTTTGTAGACTCACCTCCACACCCATTCCACCAGCCTCTCATCTCTGGTCGCATGATCTCTTCATTCTCCAGACCTCCCCGCTCCCCACTGCCCACTCTGGGGCCATGGCACTGTTCCCTCTGCATGAGTTGACATTTCCATGGATGGCCGAACTGACAGCTGGGTGGTGAAGGTCTGGGCCCCCACCTCTACCAAACTCTGATTGTCTCCAGTCTAACAACCTTGGAATGTCGGTGCCGGTAGAGAGAACTATTGTGCATATGGAAAAATTGATCCCTGGGAATGACGGGAACTCAGGAGTAAGGCCTGGGGCCCTGCAGCCTCTCCCCCTGGGCTCAGTGCTTTCCAGTTTCTCCATAAATCCCCAGGCATGCTCTTCGTCGTCTAATTAGAAAGAGTCAGAGGAGCTTCCTTCCTCTTGAGGTAAAATTGACTTCTAAATGTTAGGAAGGGCTTTCCCTTCTGTCAAAGATAAAGCCGGATACTAGAAGAAGTGGTAGGAACAGGTTTCATTCAGTTATATTACTGCAGCAGGGGTAAGATCCAGTGTAAACTCCACTCAAACCCTGAAGGACAAGGCTGGAGCCCTGTAAAGGCTGCCATGCAGAGGATGGGGGAATGGCCATGAGACCAGGCCCCTGGATTTCTGAAGTGGCACTTCTCTGGAGGAGAAGCACAGCTCTCCCGTGTGTATGTCAGCAGGCAGGGGTGTCAGTTGCAGCGAGGTGCCCACTGAAGTTAGGGACCGGGAGAGAGAGCAGAGTTATCGCCTGCATGTCTGCATTTTGGAGGGACGGCTCCCAGGTCCTTGAGCAACAGCTTGGGTGGTAGATGTACAGTTCTAAGGGCAGAGACAGGCTTTGGCTGGAACAAACAGTGCCTTCTCCTGGCAGCACAAAGCCTTCTCAGGGGGCTGGGATCAGTCACCCAGGGACCCAGCCTATGCTGCTGGGAGCAGTGTTAGAGTTTGGTCAAGGCTCTTAGAGCGGAGGTTTGGATGGGATGGTTAAGTGCAGAGCTGTTGTGCACCTCTCACCTGAGCCTGGTTTCAAAGGTTATGCCGAAGGACCAAAGGCATGATGACATGATGGCGGCTTCCTGGGTCATCTTAGATGCGTGGGGTATCTGTGAGGTCTGTGTCGTCCCCCAGGGCTCTGTCCTTCAACACTAGCTTGCATTATATTGCAAAGGCCTAAATCGGCTTCTTTTAACATTTACTTCATCTTCACTCTCCTTGAGTTTCTGGATATAAGTCCCATTCATTCATTGGTTTTGCCCAGTTCATCAGAGTCCTTGCCCATCAAGACATGACAAGCTGTCTCCCAGCCTGCACCAGATTGGTTGTTTGGTCAGTTTGGTTCTTCCTGTTATTTCCCAAATGAGTCAAGACTGCTAACCTGTTGTTTTAACAGATGATGGGTTACCCGATCTCTGAAGGCAAGCTGGACCAGAAGACGGCCTCGTCACTCTTATGGCAGTCCTTCTCTTTCACTGTAAGTGTCTAGGGAATTCCCCAGATGGGCTGAGACCCAAGGAGGGACGGGATTGCTCCAGGTCACTGAGCAATTAAATGGCAGAATGAA